GATACAAGATGTCAAGATTTATAGGAAAAATTGATTGTTCGCTAGTCTATGGCTATTTTTGAGATATAAAGTCTCTTATGACGGCAAAATATGCACGCCCATATTTACGAAAATTATTTTTAAAGTTTTTAAATAATTAATAAAAAAAACGATTTCTTCGGAACGGCTAGGTTTTAAAGATTTTTTATAGACAAAAAAAGAAAAGATAAAAAAAATCCTTTAAAAGTTATTACATCTTGAAAATGTCAACGGGGTACAATGATTTAACCTATACTAATACTTTTATTTTAATTAAATAAATAATAGTCTTTTATGACGACAAATAAACATATGAAAAATATGAAAAACCACTTCAATTTTTTTTAACTTTTGAAACTCCCTCTAGAATTCCATACATAACCGATTGAACGATTCCAAAATATAACAACTAAAGAGTACTGCCTGAAACCGTATCACAAATATAATTATAGTCCGCTAAACGACAAATGCGGCAGGTTTAGCAAACAAGCAGTTCGGAGATAAGACAAAAATGACTCACCCACGTGCACTTTGCACCAAGATGCACCCAGTAGCGTTGCGGCTGCGGTTCGACTGTCTCGGGATGTCGGACGAAAATAAACCCGGCCTGATGATGGTATTTAAATATTCTGGGACGAATAATAATGATAATTACTTTTTTTCGCTACGCGAAAAAAAATAAATTGCCTGCTGGTCAAGGAAATTGCTCGAAAAAAATACAAACGGTATTATCTATTTAAATATATATATATATATATACCCTATTAGATATATATACTCGCACTTTTTTCAAGGGAGATCGCGTGACCAGGTTGGGGCAATCGGAATGGGGAGGTTAGGTGTTACGAAAACTATATAAACTGCACAATTCCAATGCCCACTTTGGACTGACGACGGGCGCCGAGAGAAATCCGCGAATGGGGATGCTGCCGTGCGTCGCGACGCCTCGAACGTAACGCCGTCTCTTTTCGATACGCGGCGACGGTACCGGGGGAGAAGGAAACCTGTGCGGGGTTTGTAAATGGACACAATGCGTGTTTCGTTTCTATCGGGCCATCTTCCGTTCTTCGAAGGAGAAAAATTTAATTTTCTAATGGCCGCATGCCGGGAATATTAAAAATCGCGTATCGTCGTAAATCGTTGTGAATTTGTATTAAAGCCTGCTTTCGGTTCGGTGTTTTGTAGTATTTTTCGACATTTTCGGCTCCGCTAATTGCTAAGATAAATTGAATATTAAAAATGGAATGTTAAAAAGCATCAAAACTTGCTTCTTTTCAAGATACAGGATGTCAAAATTTATAGAAAAAATTGATTGTTTATTAATTTCTCAAAAATCTTTTGGCTAATTTTGAGATATTAAGTCTCTTATGACAGCAAAATATGCACGCCCATTTTTAAAGTTTTTAAATATTTAATAAAAAAAAAAACGATTTCTAAAGAATGGCTAAGAACTTGCAGGGCAGGGTTTTAACAGTTTTTTACAGTCAAAAAAAGGAAAAATTTAAAAAATCGTTCTTTTAAAATTATGAAATCTTCAAAATGTCAACGGGGTGTAACGATTTAACCTATATGTATCAATTTATGTATACTTTTATTTAAATTAAACAAATAATAGTCTTATGTGGCGACAAATAAACTTGCAAAATTTTATCACAAACAGCTAAAAGGGTTTTAAATTATTAAATTTCCGCATCCTGCCTTTGGAAACCAAGACCACCACTTAATTTCGTATTGAATTTTGAAACTCCCTGTAGAATTCCATACATAACCCATTGAACGATTCCAAAAGATGACAACTAAAGAATATTATCTGAAATCGTATCGCAAATATAACATAGTCCGCTAAACGACAAACGCGGCAGTTCGGAGATAAGCATATTTAAAAATAATGTTTATTTGGTTAATAAATATGTGTCCGCAAACGCCTCCGTCAGAAGATACGGCGTTATAAGGAATCTTTTTTTTTAATTATATCATTTTATTCTGAAACGAACAAAATTTTAATATGAATAAATAAAATACCAAATTTTAATTTTAATAAATTAATGCAAAATATTATATTCTGCCATCCATAAAATACCTAATTATACACAGATCTAGTGTGCGGAAAGTGCCGTTTACCACAGTTGTGGCATAATATATTATTAACAATTTTTTCTACTCCCGTCTGTAAAATATCTAATTACACATCGATCTAGCGTGCGGGAAGCGTCACTTTGTCACGTCAGTTACGTTTCCCAAGAATCCGAACCTCTTCGAACATTTCCGGGATTTAGGTACAATCGGATGTTTTCGGAAATATTTCCCACGCTTTGAATGTTGACGTTTGTCAACTCTGACGGTCATGTCAGTGAATATATTTTTCTACTCCCGTCTGTAAAATATCTAATTACCCACCGATCTAGCGTGCGGGAATCCGAGTCACTTCGGATATTTCCGGGATTTTACCGCACGAATTTGGCAGCAATCGGATGTTTTCGCAGATATTTCCCACGCTTTGAATTTTGACGTTTGTCAATTCTGACGGTCATGTCAGTAATGTATTCGTTGTTTTGCGAAAATGTAACCAAAAACTAACGCTCGTAGAAAAAGTATAATATGCAACACGTTCGGTAAACTTTTTAACTCACTCGTTTATTAAAAACTCGCTCCGCTCGTGTCAAATAAACTCGTGAGTCAAATGACGGTTACCGCACTTGTTGCATAATATACTATTGTGTTGTTTTGTGAAAATGTATTCAAAAACTAACGGTCGTAGAAAAAGTATGTTATGCAACACGTTCGGTAAACTTTTTAAGACACTCGTTCATTAAACACTCGCTCCGCTCGTGTCAAATAAACTCGTGAGTCAAATGCCGTTTACCGCAACTATTCCATAATAAAACGTACCCTTGTTTAAAGTAAAAAGATACGGACTTTGAAATTATCAAAGGATTTAACAATTAATACTTGTTCTAATAAATTATTTTCATAGGTGATGATTATCTCAGGGAACTATTTCACATAAAACTGTGAAGGCAAAATATTGTAAATTTTGAGCTTAAATTTTGTCCGCAGTAATCGTTATTACCCAATAGAATTTAGATATCTTAAACCAAAATAATAAATAAACATCTTTTGGAGCTCTATTAACTACCTATATTAATCAAACTATCGTTATTCCTTAATATTCCATTTAATCTATAAATTAGGGAAGCGTTTTGTGAGACTCCCTACCTATGTAGAACATGTCCTATACCCACTGACGTCATTTTTGTTTATCTTCACGTGACAACGGTGACAATTTTTGGGTGAACTCCATCTAAACTGCAAAACTGCAACTGCAAAAGGTTGTTATTGTTACTTTATTTACACAAAATTATTTACACATTATTATTTGGTGATCAAACAATATTTTATTTAAATATTTTTATAAAATCAAATTTATAATAATCTAACTTCTTGAAAACTCATTTAAAGAATTAGATGCTAATTAATAGCAAAAAAAGTCTTCAATTATGCAGTGATTTACACAATAAGTACCTGTAACCAAAATTTTATTTATTTATTTTACATTTTAACGACAACCGAATCAATAGGCATAGATATAATAAGCACAACAATATATCATCCCAAAAAGATATACAAACTCTGCATTCAGAGCAAATTGGCAATATTATAAAACAATCTCAGTTATCTGTTATTCGTAGTAGCTTATATGACAAAGAAAACAATCCCCATCACTACTGGTATGATTCTAAACAAAATTTGTCAGTAATATGTTAATAATCTTGTATAAAGGGTGCTAATTGCAAAAAATCAAATATTGAAAGAGATATAACTCAAAGGGGAGTTGAAGTTGTTTGCACTACATAGTATGCGCTTTTATTACAAAATACTGAAATTCGAGCACGCTGCTTACCTTTTCTTGCGTATTGTGCACAACACCAATATCGAAGTATCTTAACAGTTCAAGCTCATAATAAAGAACTTATCCTATTATAATGGGTCTCTAATACAATAAATAAAAAATACTATTTTATTCCTTTGTGCTTATTATCCTTCTAATATTTTGTTTCCCTATTTTGTTAATTTTTTAATTATATTATACGTATTAACCCCAGTCCTTTTCTTCACTTTTTTTATTTATTTTAACTACTTTTATATTTTCTTTACTTGTTGTATGTGTTTCTCATGTTTAAATAATATACAGAGCTGCATTGGTGGAACAGAATCTGCGGTATTCTAGAGAAGTCTCAAATATGTGCTTTCGTTTGGCAATTGGATTTCTTTTTCTCTTAAAATAATATTTCTATAACTATCTATTTCCCTATGTTTTTCCCAAATTTAAAATCGATATTATTTATACACCGAAATAATTTGTTTGAGAAGTTATTCTCTCGTTTTATTGGGGGTTTGTTCCTTTTTTCTAAACTTAGCGAACAAATAAAAGTTAAAATATGGAAATAGGTAGATACTGCTATAGAAGTAAGTGTGTTAGCCTTCGGCTAGCTTTATCAAGATCTGCAGAAAAAATAAGGGATAATTTTTTTGTTATCTAAGTCATTCAGAACTATCTAATGCTAATGTTAATTCGATTAGGCAATAAATTTATTTTAATAATGAATTTATATTCATCAATGAATTCCCGAAACAGAAAAGCAAAAATACATTTTCTAATCATTTTGTTAATGTACCTATATGTTGTTGATTTTAAAACGGTTCTATCTTATCTGCCGATAACGAAAAAGTCATGATCACTTCGTCAGTATACAAACTCCGAACTTTTCATAAACGCCATGTCAAACTCCATTTCAACGTAGGACATTGTACCGGCTTCAAATTGTCTCTATGGGGCAAATTATTTAAATAGATAACGAGGAATCTACTGAAATTAAAAAATCGTTACTCAATATCCAAAGCAAACAAATTAATCTCTTACGGTAATTGCTTATTCATGTGTTTCGATACATGCACATATCGCTGTACAAACGTTTCAAAGATAACGCCAAGTATTCGAATCGAGGTATAAATAGACGAAACGGAATCACAGGGCAATAAAATTTTACCGTATTCGCAAAAAACCAAAACAGCATGAGTCTACAGGGCAAATATACCTTCGTGAAAGACGAAGGAATGGATGAGTTTTTTGCAAGCCTTCCCCGTGAGTAACATCGGTTCTAGATTACACTTTCGACGATACATTCGGTTGCGTTATTTTAGCCGACGCTTTGAAGGCTGCTGCCTATAAAGAATTAGAAATAACCGTTGGCGATGGCGTCATTATTGCCAAAAGCCCTGAACGCGAAAAGAAGTACGATATTACTCAAACGGTTGAAGAAACGTTTCCTGACGGCAAGAAAGGCAAGGTACTTCATAAATCGGCTACTATCTGACAGTTTGATTGCGTAAGAATTAATTATGACTATATAAAGTCAACAAGGACAATTATAATTGTTGCATGCACAGATAAGGATACAAAATTTAAATCTTGGCGAATGCTTTGCAGTGGAAGTATATATTTTCTACAATAAGTTTAATCGATAATATGTTCTTACGAACATTTTTAGTATTATAGTAAAATTAAACCACTAGTTACTGATTATGTGGTAATTACTAGAAAACCTCCTGTATTGTGGATTCTAGTGAAACTGTGCTGAAAACCGCAAAAACTTACACTGTAAGACTAAAAACAAGCTGATTGCATGACAAAACAATTAGTTTAGATAAAAAATAGTTTCAAATTATTTATTTATATCTTTAATTTGCATTTTTTAGTTCTTGTTGTTACATTTCACAGAATTATAAGCAAATATGCTTGTTCTGCGTCTCAATCGACTGGTTTTCTTTCATTAAATCGTTTGAAAAGTTTCCCATAAATTTTATTCTGTAACGTCATTTTGCAAATATTCCATCCAAAGGTTATCCTGCAAAGCAATATTTTAGATGCATTTACTAGATGCATGTACTAATAATTTTTGTATATTCAGACAACCGCTACATTAAAAGGTAACGTCTTGACCGTGGAAACTGTAGGCGAGCAGGGCTTGTTTAAAAGGATCTTTTCCGCAACTGCGTCGGGATTGGAAGTGGTAGGCAACTTTTATTTTACTTATACAGTCTATGATTAAACTAACGATTTACAATTTGCAGGTAGTGAGTAACGGCAAAGCACAAGGCAAGCGCATCTTCTCGAGGGTCTAAACTGTGAAATGTATTTAGCGAAATAAAATAATTTATACACACCTGGCGCGTTTTATTTAATTACTTTTTATTTCAAGTCGCAATATTTTCCGAAAACTGGTTCCAAAATGGAAATCGAACTATGTGTTTTTTCAAAAATTTGAAAGCGAAGAAAATTATTATTTTTAAATATACTTAATTAATACATAACATTATTTGATCAAAATGAACAAAAGGCTAAATAAAGTGAACACTAAATCGCTATACTTTACAAAAATTGCAAAAGAACTTGGCTTAGGTCGGTATCTTACGATATGCACATTCCACTGGGAAAAATTTGCGACTTTGATAAAATAAACTATATAAGATTTCATTTTCTTTTAATTGTAGTCCTTCTGCAACTCTCTCTTTTTTTTTGGACTCTTCTTTGTTAATTACGAAGGCATGAAATTGATAAAATTTCTTTAATTCTTCTTCTAAACTTAAGGTAATCTAAGGTATGAGCTTTTTTTTTTAAATCAGTATTTGCAAGAGTAAAAACATCTTTTTTATTTTTTCTGTTGAATAATTTACATTTTATTTCATATACCATTTGGATTTTAAAAACTAGAAAACTTTAAGCTGATTGCAATATTACATTGATTTCAAATCTGTAGCTAAATATCTATGAACAAAACTTTTAGGTTTAACACCGCGAACCTCAGCAAAAGAAAAACTTTCGGTGTTTTGAATGTAAGATGTCGCCATAAACATATTCACTAAAGTTAAATTTTTAGATTGAGCTTTTAAAAAATCGGCTTCGGTGTTTAGAATGTAAGATGTCGCCATAAACATATTCATTAAAGTTAAATTTTCAGATTGAGCTTTTAAAAAGTCGGCTTCGGTCATTTTTGAAACCTTCTTTTTGATATTTAACACAAGATGACAAAAGCAAGCGACATGATCAAAATTAAAATTAAAATTAGCAAGGCGAACGCGTTGTTCTCTAATGGCTTCTTTATGCTCTCGGCTGACGGGCGACAAGCGAATTGACGTCACAACAGGTGACCAACGAGTCAAAGAGGATTTAAATTTTATATTTGTTACATAGAACTAAGAAATTATTTTTTTTGTGAACTGTGGATTTTAATAGTATTAACTTACATTTGTAAGCAACACTTTTTAAACTAAAATTTTGTTCTCTATTACTAAAAATCTAAATAATCTCTATGCACATAAAATTGTGAAATATTATGGACAATAAGAAGAAAAAAAAACTTATCAAATATTGAAATTCACTCCTCGATCCAAAACTTTCGAAAAATAACTTCCATTAGTCCATTATTTCTTGAAGGGTTTTCAGCTAGTGTCAGCTGTGGGGTTTCAACTCCACACCACAATCCAAATTATTCGAGGAATTGAATATTACGCAGAGGCTATAATAAGCACAGCGCAAGGTCGAAAATTTTGGTTTGTATTTAAATCGACACAAAAGAATAAACGCACCGTAGACTTTGACTTGGAAACAATTTTTTAAATGTACGCAAATCAAAGACAAAACAATCGAAATTATTGTGATGTAAGTAAATAATTTAAAGGCATTCGAAGAAAATCCCAAGTATTTTTAACATTTTTGATAACTCATGCACATTTTTAGTATATTTTAAAACAAAACAAATACCTTACAATTGCTCGAAGCTAATAAAAGAATCCCAAAAGTTAAATTACCTATTCATTTGTGCGAATACAAGCCTTTATCGTTATACAAACGGAAAAGATAAAGATGAAATATTCAAATCCGAAAGTATAAATACCCGACGAATAACGCTTTCATCGCAGTGCAATAAAATTTTAACGAGCCACTCGAACAAAAAACATGAGCCTCCAGGGAAAATACACTTTCGCGAAGGACGAAGGATGGGATGAATTTTTCTCGTCCATTGTTCGTGAGTAACTTTATTTATATTTTTATTCTAAGCAGTAATTTTGCCACCAATCAATATACTTTAAAAAATTATGAACCTTAGTACAGTTTAGCGTGATATTTTAGCGGACGCTCCAAAACCGACTGCCGCTTTCAACGAAATTGAAATTGTTGTGGGCGCGGACGTTGTTACGGTCAAGAACCCTGGACGGGAAAGGACGTACGCCCTAAACCAAACAGTGGAAGAAACGTTTCCAAATGGCAAGAAAGGCAAGGTAAGCTACAACATGAAGGAGTTGTACTTTCAAATTAGGTTTATATAAAAGCCACAATATATTAAGTCAAAATTACCAATTAGTTACTCTCATGCTTTGAAAATTTTCATCACCCAATTTTTTTTTCAAAAACTTGATGTTGAAGTAGGAAGCTACATCCGGCCCAATGTAAAATATATAGTTGCAATTATACCTAGTTCATTTTGATCAATTTCTATTCTAGCTTCTCTAATGCTAGATTTGATCTCTATTTTTTTTTTAATTTCATTAGGATCAACATATTTTTACTTATACCCCCGTTGGCAGTTTCTACTTTCAAAACATTGCTTAGCTAATGCAATTTATTTAAAAAAAGTTACGTTGCCATGAAACTATCGAAAATTAAAAAATAAAGCAGTAATTTTGCTTTCTGCGGGAAACGTTAAATATTCGGCGTCATTAATATAATGCAACTAAAGCTCAACAATATACAAAAACGCATTGCAACACAACCGCTGTCCTTTCTTATTATGTTACCACATATTGGACACTGGCGCCATAAATGCTCTTAGACTGTCAGAAGCTAAATACAATGTATCCTAAACCAAAAATCTTGATGTAGAAAGAAAGCAAAAATGAACAAGTATCCAATCAAATATTAAGAAATAGAGCATTTAAATGCTATGTAAACTGTTGTTTTTTAGATGTCAAATAGGCACCTCAATTCGATAAAAAATGTGTAAGAGCGCTATTTTGCAAAAAAAATATGTTAAATTAAACATATTATGCAAAAAAAATAATGAATTTAATGTAACATCTAGATTAATATTAGAATGATTTATATCATTATATGTCTCGAATATCTGGATATCATCTTTCCCCACGTTCATCAATCATTTTTCTACAACTTCCAAGTAGTTGTCACTCTTATGGTTGCTCAGAAAGCACTTTATAATGGCACGAAAAGCGTTTCTTTTTTTTCATTTTTAACCAATTATTTTTCAAAGTCGTCCAAGAGCCGGGATTTTAGGTCGACAAGACAAAAATAACAATCTACCACACTACCTACAATTTCTTGGAATACCAAATGGCATTTTTTCTAGGCTGGCCTCTATACTATGCCTCTAGGATTTATCGAAAGTTGCCGTCCAAGTTTTGTGTTTTGAATAATTTTAAATTTCACATGTTTTTTTATATGTATCATATTATGATCGCAAACATATCAAACTATTTTGTCGGGGCTTGCAAGTTCCTTTGGAAATCATATTAAGGCAAAATAAACCGAAGAGACTAACTAAACTGACCAAAACAAAGTCAGAAGTATCAAATAGTAACAACGGGGTTAGATTTGACAGCAAAATATATGATATACCATCAGGGGTCACGACCCACTCCATTTTGCAAGTATAAAATCCAGATAACCAATCTCATGTTACATCTGTGCTACCTTTTTGCTAAAGCTTCTGTTTTATATGTATTGGGATTTATTTCAAAAATATATTCGTAAATGGAAGATTAAATATAACTTATCTATTATTTCTTATGTTCAGACCACTGCTACGTTGAATGGGGACGTCTTGAGCGTGGAAAGTGTCGGCGACGAGGGTGTTTTTAAAAGAGTCTTCTCCGCTTCCGCATCGAGCTTGGAAGTGGTAAGTAATTTTTAATTTGACATCTCAAAATATATCAATACGTATATCTATAACGATTTACAATTTGCAGGTGATCAGCAACGGAAAATCTCAAGGCAAACGCATATTTTCGAGGGTTTGAGTGACTAAAAAACGTGAAATAAAGTAATTTATACAAAACAGACCTGTTCGATTTACTTCCAGTATTGCGGGACTCGATTTCAAAAGTTTTTAATTTAAAATTTTATTGACCAACGGATCAAATCAAACTTTGTAATAACCGTTCTAGAAAACGATATATCTATATCGATATAATTTGTGACGGAAAATCTCAGGCAATTCGGCGTGAAGAAAATCATTTAAATTGCATCTTGGGCCGTCACGCTGATACATGAACCCGATATTACGTGGAAATATCTTTTTTAAGATTCGTCTTCCTAAAACTACGTTTTCGAGTTTGAAAATATGATAATTTAAAGTTTTTTTTTAATTACAATTCACACCAGTCGTTTCTAGTAAAGTGTTTTAAGAATTTTATACAATTTCCTCAACTAAATAAAATGTGGAACACCAATCCAGAAGTATACCTGAACGGAATATTACAGTTTTCATATGTCTAAGTTTTTTAAGTATCAAAAATATATTTTTATACTTGCTTTTGAAAATTTCTTTTGAACTATGAGACTGTCAGTTTTGTGAAGGCTAGTGATATTAAAGTAGTAAAATTTTTGAGAAAAAAAAAAAAACAAAAAGAATAAAGTACCACTGGCAAACGTTAAATATGCGAATTTTGTTGTGTCATTCCTCTTATTGCTTGCACGTACAGAAGCCTATAACAACAAATATGAGAGGTGAATTCGCTACTCGTTGGAAAACAGCTATGATTGTTGCAATTTTTTAAAGTAGTCAAGAAAAATACGTAACTAATTAGAGAACAATAAGTAAAATGTCAGCCGCCGCAAGACTGGCATATGAATGTAATGTAAAAAATCACAAAATACAGGAAGATACGGTCCACACTGACTATAGCCTTTCGATAAAATAAGTCATAATATATTGTTGAAGAGCGTTGCTGGAGTCGGTATAAAAAAGCAGTAGACCACATCAGTTTGGTATGTATTATGATTAAGTTTGCTCACATGAGGTTAAGTTATTTGGTTATATTTCTAGAAAATGTGCAGAATTTACAAATAATAGGGTTATTGTTTGCTTATTTATCAGGTTTGTGCCTGGCAAGCTTTTATTTGGTAATGTAGCCTGGAGTCCATATTAGCAAAGATCGCTTTTAAAGCGTTCAAAATAAATTTCTAAAATAAATGTCCCTTTGGCTAGTTTTAGATTAACCGAAATGTGTAATGGTTCCTTTAGGAACCCTAATTCTACATAAAGTTGTCCACAGACCCATAAGCCCTATAGACTCGAATATTCAAAATCACTGAATGACGTGTAACGTGATCGTCAGAATTAGCAAAATTCAAGCAGCGAGTATACACCCGATTGCTTCCAAACTCGTGAATAATATCCCGGAAATGTCCGAAGTGACTTGCAGCCGCAGGTAACTTAAAAGTCTATTAGGCACGAGCATCTTGCATACTATACTTTTTGAACAACCGTTAGTTTTTGGGTACATTTTTGCAAAACAATACTAATATATTCACAGCCATGACCGTCATAATTGACAAACGTCAAAATTTAAGCCGTGCGGTGAAATCTCCGAAAACATCCAATTGCTCCGCGTGATAATATCCCGGAAATATCCGAAGGAGCTCGAAGCGTGGGACAAGAAACTCACGTGGTAAAGTGATGCTTCTGTCTATTGTCCCGATAATCTGTAGAAATAGATTATACTAGATTTTGTTTCATTATTGAGCAAATTATGTAAATTGTCGTTTTTGGATACCATTAAGGTTCACCTGTAGTACAAAAAATAAAATCACGAGCAACTGATGAGGCTTCAAATTTGAACATCCCAGTTAAACGTTCTTCAAATTTAAGCTCAGCGATGTATAACAAAATGGTCGGCATGCATAAACCGACCAGCAATTTTTATATCGCTGTAAACGCAGCAAAAATCTGGGTAAAGAAATACCGACCGGAAAATAAAAGTGCAACACTAATTTAAAATGCCTGAATAATTAACATTTTTTTCAGTTCCTGTTGCGTATCTTCTAATTAACGGATTTCTTTTGCTATCTCATGTTTGTATTTCGTTTCAAAGCCCGGTAAAATTTAAACCGCTTTAATGTACAAAAATGGAACTTCAGTAATTTAGCTTTGCCATCCATTCACGTCGTTTTACTTTGATAAAAAAAATCGCATGTAAGCACGTCAGCAATCTATACAATTAAAAGTCATAGAAAATAAGAGTCCTTGAGGGCATTTAATTGGTTTGTTTATTGAGTATCTATACATTGATTAAAATTCAAGTTTTTGCCATTTCTTGACATACACAAGCGTATAATTGGTTGCATAATTTGCAATGTTTTCAGTGGCTCGTAAGAACACGTATATTACTTATCCTATTAAGAAGAAATTTTAATCAATCCAAATTATAATACTAAATACGCGATCGTATAATTCGTTGCTTATTTCGTCTACCATGTTTTCGCTGAATCATAGGAAGACGTAGCATTATTTGTGGAAGCAAAATTAATAATAAAATCTAACTCAAATTATAACATAAAATTCGGAATAGTAAATTGCCAAACGGAACATAGGAAATCCCATGTAAATTTTTAGGTGAATAAATATATAAAGTTGTAATATAACTTTTTTTTACAATTAACTCATTTACCGAGTTTGAATAAAGTTAAATAAGCCAATTTTCAGTTATAAACACGAAAATTCCTGACAACAGCAATCTTTTTATTTTTAATTGTTTTACGTCATTAAAGACGCTTTAATTTAAGCTAAATATGTGTTATTCAATTGAAGAAAAAGTAACCACAATTAATTAATAGTGCAGAAAAACAGTTTTGGAGCAGTATCTGAAATGTTTTTAGTTTATTTTCCTGCGAGAACTATAACTTCGATTTCTACAATTAAACGTATTATTAACTAATTCGAATCCGAAGCCACGGTAATAAATAACTGCAAATGTGAGAGCAGAAGAAAGGAACAATAGAGATTTGAATATTTTGCTGCATGTGGAAGGATTCTTCGACAAGCTGTAAATAAACATCAAACCATAGTGTTGCACACAGAATGAACAGTAGCACTTTGTTCTGCAATGATGGAAGAAGAAAATTTTTTTCTAAAATATTTGTTTTACTGATGAACGCTCAACAATGAACCAAAGGTTCAAAACTGATGGCATTGGAACCAAGGAATGTTTTGTTCATACTCGAAGCCAATATCCTCAAAAAATAATTGTAATGGCGGGAATTGGCGGAACTCATATAATTGGGCTATTTTTTATAGATTGTAACCTATTTGGACTTATTACAAAATCAAATTGAACCAGCACTAGTGGTTCGTGAAGATCAGGAGATCTGGCACAAGATGGATGGTTATCCCGCCTATAATTCCCGTATGGTCAGGAAGTATTTGGGAAATACTTTTAACACGAATATTATTTGCCCAAGGTGCCTTCTGTGGGGTCACTTGCAAAGCATCTATAAAAATGTTAGATTTGAGCATCTTAATCAGTTACAAAACGTTATTTCCTTAGAATGTGATAGGATCTCGCAATATCAACTAAGCAATGTTAGAAATGAATTTTATGATCCCTTTGGATATTGTTTAACTGTTAATTGAAGGTTGTTTAAACATTTACAGAAAAAATAAAGTTTATTTTCAATAACATTTATATTTAGAAATGTTTTGTAGCCGCATTTTTATAATAATTATTAATTATTTTTAATAAAAAGCTTGAAGATCAAATTTATGGTCGTTCCTTGAAACTTCTTAAAAGGTCTTTTAAATAAAATTAATTCCAAGAACGTTTTAAAGGACAAAGTGGTGTTAAGAACCCAGTATGAGTTTGATCCAAAAAAAAAAAATAATGAACCTCCATACTTAGTTTTTTTCTAATGTGTGAAACCAAATGAAACCTTTATTTGACATGTCATTGTCCAGTTTGATGTCGGCAAGTTTTGGAAATAGCGTCATGGAATATATTCATTGACGCTTGTTGTATTGAAATTCTGCAATTTTGCCATCACAATTAAGTCACTAACTGAAGATTTTATTACTAAAAGCTATATTACAACTTAGCTATAAAATGTACAGGGGAGTCAATATTACATGGGACTTTCTATGTTCCGTTTGGTAATGCATCATCCCGGAATATACAATGCTTTCATTGAAGTAGATGAGATTGTTTGTATGCATAGAAATCACCTTTCGTACAAAATGTAATGTTTTCTTAAAGGCAAGTCTTGTGCCGTCTACTTTTTTAGTGTTAAGAGTAACAAAAATACGTAGTTCCTTTACTTTTATTAACAGCAATCCAAAGTCGTTAGCACTGCTTTTGCCATTATTCAGTTCAAACGATTACCTACTGGTTGTTAGAGACATATATAGCAAGTCCCAATTGATTACGTCGACTGGGGGAAAAAACCATGAGAAAAATTCCCTCCCATTTCAAAGATTTTGCCCGGAATTCACGTTCTCCATGAATTACGAGCCGAACATAAAGCTCCCATCGCAAAGTAAATTTCCGGGTAAAGATTGCAAATTTCAGAACTCGATTGGCAAGCAAATGTTTTATTACAAAAGCAACGGAGAAATGTTATGCGCCAACGTGAAATAATTCCTTTACGAGAAACCGAAAGCTTAAACTCAAAGCTGTGCTTTGATTAAGTTTTTATTCGTGCACTTAAACTTCACCATTACATATTTGTTTCCTTGCGAGCTAATAATGGCATGAATAATAAATAATTACAATTAGGAAGGAACTAGAACGGTACAAAAACGACATGAATAAAACAGCACTGTTGTAGGTAATGGTGTTTACCGTCTCGCCATAATATTCTGTTGCTATTTATTGAGTTATTGTCGTCAAACTGTCGTGGACTAAAATGGATTACCTTTTCCAGAGTAAGTAAACGTGATATATTTGATGTACAATATATTGTGCGGTATTTGCCACACGCACACAAGAACGTTTTGCGATATATCAACCGGCTTAAGCATTTTTGGTATTAAAGAAGAATTCGCTTACTTTAATGGTGAGTTTATATA